AAGAGAAGAGAAGAGAAGAGAAGAGAAAAGAAGACTTGCGGGCACCTTTGACGATGAAGTCGGGGACGTTGGCATGTTTTGAAACTTCACGTCCTTCCAGAGTCTCTCAGCAAGTACGTCCTTGTCCACACAAGGGTCGCGCATCTGACAGCAACGTCGGCAACGTCGGAAGAGGAGCAGAGAGGAGGAAGAGACGGGAGAAGGAGGATGTACAAGACGAAAGGAGGAGGCGGGGCGAGGAGAGGAGAGGAGAGGCGAGGAGAGGAGAGGAGAGGAGAGGAGAGGAGAGGAGAGGAGAGGAGAGGAGAGGAGAGGAGAGGAGAGGAGAGGAGATATTACGTTGAGTTTGTACTGCTTGCCCTCTACCATGTAGCCATCGGATATATTCACTGTTGATCTCAATTTCATTCTCACACCTTTCACAAACTTTTCTCACCTTTGTCATGATCTTCAAACTGATAACGCTGAAAGATTCTCCTGCAAAAGAATGAGCCGGGGGAGGGGAAGTGAGGTAAGTTGCTGACTTGACGGAGTGAGAAGTGAAGAAATTCTGTTTGCAAAACATCAGCATCGTTGCGATACATCATCTTGTTTTCAAACCTTGACAAAACCCCTGATAGTGCAATCGATGCGCTTGTGAATGCTCTGAACCTTGAATGGAAATCAGATGAGATGTGACAATCTATATGGTGTGAGAAAACCCTCTCAATAAAGTCCAGCCAGTTCCTATAGCCGACGACGAGGGAGAGGCTGAGAAAAATGTGAGAGGAGAAGTTCATATTAGAGCATTTCAACGACTTCTGATTGCGGATTGGCGAGATGACTGGAGAGCAGAAGAATGTGAGCGAAAAGAAAAGAGAAGATAACTTGAGAGTGGAGCAAGAAAGATACGTGAGAGAAGAGAATGAGGAGAGAGGAGAAGTATTAGAGAGGAGGAACATTTGGGATGAGTAGAGAGGGTGAGAGGGATAAAGTTGTGTTTGCCTGCAAACTTTCGATCCTTTGATGGTTTGACTTCAATCTCCTTGAAGGATCCCTGAGGAGAAGAGATGAGGAGATGTGGAAGGAGGGAGGAGAGAGGAGAGAGGAGAGAGGAGAGAGGAGAGAGGAGAGAGGAGAGAGGAGAGAGGAGAGAGGAGAGAGGAGAGAGGAGAGAGGAGAGAGGAGAGAGGAGAGAGGAGAGAGGAGAGAGGAGAAGAGGAGAGAGGAGAGGAGAAGAGAGAAAAGATTGCAGATATTGAGAGCAGGAAGATTGTTGCGAGCAAGAGACAGACGACTTCAAGGCGCAACGACAAAGAGAAAAAGCCAAGACAAGAGACTTTCACATGCAAGGAGGTATGAATGGAGGACAACCGAGTGGAGCTTGCACAAACATGGCAAACAACAAAGAGATCCAGTTACAAGACGTGATATGAACAAACAAGACTTGGGAAGTAGCCATAAAACATGAGATCAAGAAATGAAAACAATCTCCCATAACAGAGGATGAAATGAAATTCTTTCTCTCACCTCCCACAGCAGTGCTTCTCTCAACCGATCATCCTTGAGCTCAAAGATCCGAAACATGTCGGCGTTGACGTCGAACTCACAAAATCTCCCGTTCTCTCCCATCGTTAGCAGCGACACATGTCTTAGTAGCCTCTTGATGGACTTGTCTTGTAACTTCTTGATGAGCTGAGACCGTTGTGGATCAGAGAAAACAGGAAATCAAGCTCTTGTTTTCCTTGACAACTTTCTCCCTTTCCCTCCCTTTCTCCTTCCCCTCCTTTCCATCTCTAAATTCCACCGTCATATCCTGCTCCTGCTCCTGCTCCTGCTCCTTTTTCATGTCGCCATCATCATCATCATCATCATCATCATCATCATCATCATCATCATCAAAATGAGTATCATCGTTATCAACATTGCTCACCAACTTGGCTTGATCTGTTTTCCATATTTTGCTCTTTCCGATCTTCTGAGCGCCATCGGAGAGTAATCGAACGATTTCCCCTGCCTGGTGAAACCATCCGCATCAAATCACTGCACCTTCTCCCGCTCCCGCTCCCGCTCCCGCTCCCGCGCCCGCTCCTCCTGCTCCTTCCCAATTCCTGTCTTCTTCTCCTCCAGCTCCCCTTGCCTATTCCTCCTCTTGGCCCTCCTGCCACTGCTTTTTCTGCTGCTCTTGCTCTGTTCTACACCTCGGGCCAGTCCTGCTCCTGCTCCCGCTCCCGCTCCTGCATCTGCTCCTGCTCCCGCTCCCGCTCCCGCTCCTGCTCCTGCTCCTGCTCCTGCATCTGCATCTGCTCCTGCTCCTGCTCCTGCTCCTGCTCCTGCTCCTTCCCCTGCCTCACTTTCTCCCCTCACCTGTCGTTGGATCCAGGGTGGAGGGCACTCGCCATGTGACACTCTGCTGTCTTCAGCTGAAGGTCGACGATCGCAAAGAGACTTTCTTCTTGTTTCTGTGACAGCGCGCTCACGAGGAGGAGGTGGTGGAGGAGAGGGAGCTGGGGAGGGAGCTGGGGGAGGAGCAGGTGGAGACAACGCCAGTGGAGAGGCCTTGAGAGGAAGAGGAGTTGCTGCCTCCTCTTCATTTTCCCCAGGCCTGCTATCGCTCAGGTCCTGGTCGAGTTGGAGAGGAGGAGGAGGAGGCTTGCGAGACTCGCTCCGCAGCATGGAGCTGTTGATCAACCTGTCCTCATAGGACGGGACGGCCGGCAACTCATCGACGGCTCCTGCCATCTCAATCTCTTCCCCCTCCTTGTTTTGCTCCACCTCCTTCTTGGAGGGTTCAAAGTCGAAGTCGATCAAGCTGTTGAAGTCCCCGTCCTCGTCCTCGTCCTCGTCCTCGTCTATCTTGTGTTCGATGAAGTCGCTCCTCCGACTGTCCTGTCTTACAGTCTCTGTCTTGAGTACCTTCTTCTTTCCTCCAAGAATCGGACGCGGTTTCTTCTCTGTTGTCTTGGCCGATGGAGAAAACAGAGATTCGACCTCATTGTAATACCTGACAGCTCCCATCAAAATAACACGTTTGCAAGTGAACAGTTCATATGTTGAGCTCAACAGACGCAGCAAAGAGAATTTTCCCTCATGTTCTGATTGTGCAAAATTGCAAACAAAAACGTGATGTTCCGCAAACATTGATGCAACATCATTGTGAGAAAAATTCTATACTCACAAGCAGGAAACCTCTTCTGACAAGACGAGCCATTGCAATTCACACGACTAGTTTGTACATGGAGCGATCAGAGATCAAATGCTGAAGGATAACAGTCTCATCATGCTTGAAGACAACACGCTTACAGATCAGGCAGAGCATCACAACAGCAACTCATACACTCACTTCTCTCTGGATTTCACGAACCCACTCTTCACAGCAGTGTGTAGCTGACTCCAATTGTCCTGACAGAAAGCTCCCTTGTTGTTCAATGTGTGAACCGCCTTCCAACCCTTTCCTTCCGCTTGCTTTCCGTGGTGCTCCATGGTCTCATGCTCCACTGCACATCCCAGCAGTCCGGACAGGTCGACATGAGAAGCACAAATCGTCAAGGAGCTGAAGAACTGAGATCATCTCGATTTGCAAACTGCTAGAGCCCAAGAGAGAGATATCAGCAGAGGGAGTAGACGTCATGTGCAAACTTAGATTCAAGATACAAAACAAAGTTCTTGTATTCTGTCCTCAAATGACTTGCCGGAGAAAACATTTCCTACTTCACGCCTTCCCTCCTCGCAGCCTCCACTAGAAACTTTCCATCTTTCGCTTACTTTTCCATCGCTCCCAACTGTGTTCGACCTCTCACACGTCTCTACTAGCCCCTTACCGTTGTGGCTCGACATGGCGCTCATCCTGCCTCCTCGTCTCCTCGTCTCCTCGTCTCCTCGTCTCCTCGTCTCCTCGTCTCTTCCTCTCTTCCTCTCTTCCTCTCTTCCTCTCTTCCTCTCTTCCTCTCTTCCTCTCTTCCTCTCTTCCTCTCTTCCTCTCTTCCTCTCTTCCTCTCTTCCTCTCTTCCTCTCTTCCTCTCTTCCTCTCTTCCTCTCTTCCTCTCTTCCTCTCTTCTTCTCTTCCTCTCTTCCTCTCTTCTTCTCTTCCTCTCTTCCTCTCTTCTTCTCTTCCTCCTTTGTAACGTCCTTGGTCTTCATTCACACCGGTACCAGTGATTAGTTTGACTAGCTGGCCCCACCACCCCTCCTGCTTGTGTTCCCACCCCCCTCCTCCCCAGCAGTCTGCACTGTAATGAGCCTGATTTTTAACTTAACTTTGAGTAAAGAGCCTAAACCGTATTGAACTGGGTTACCGGGCCCCGCCCCGCCTCAGCCCCGCGGCAGCGGCAGCGGTAAGGACAGTAGTGCAAGGCTGTAAGGGTGAGACAGCCAGGCCCTGAGGGGCCGTGGCAGCAGCCTAAGTAACGCCGCAGGCCGGGCCTGCGCAGGCCCCGGACAAGGGCGGCCCGGTAACTTAGGGCCCGGGATGCGGCAGTCGGACGGTCAGCGTGACGTGGGGTAAGGGGGTGATGAGTGACGGTCGGGGGATGGGGGGCAAGCGGGGTAGGGGGACGGATTCCATGCCGAACTCACCCACATAGAGCATGCCAGGCAGCCTTGAGAAGTGAAGAGGAGGAGGAGGAGAAGGAGGAGGAGGATACGAGTGGGAGGACGAGAGGTAGGATGAACAGCAGGAAGAGCAGGAGCAGGAGCAGGAGCAGGAGCAGGAGCAGGAGCAGGAGCAGGAGCAGGAGCAGGAGCAGGAGCAGGAGCAGGAGGAACTTGTAGTGTGGGCAGGATGAAGATGCGGAACCTGGAGCGAGGAGAGGAACAGATGTTAGCATGAGCCTAACAAAACGTTGGACAAAATAACTGAGTAAAATCAGGACAGATATGACCAGAATGTTGTCGACAATTGATTTTTTTCAGGGCGTGCAGTAGAGCAGAAGGCAAAACACAGAAGTAGGGAAGGCAGAGGGGGAGCGGGGAAGGATGGAAAGGAAGTCAGCCCTTAGCAAGGGGAGGAGTTGCAGAGGAATAGAGCGAAGAGGAGGTAAAGAATTTCTTTACCTCTAACACTTCACTACGTAGGTCTCGCAGCATGGAAAAGGAGCAGTTATAACCCATCCCTTGCTGCAATGCGGCGTCAAACTATCTCCCATCGATGTCTTCTCCTCTTGTTGCTAGTACAAGGTACCAGCAACGCCGGCATCCCAAAGTTTCCATGCACGCGCTCCCTATCACTCCCCATGTCCCTAAGGGGCGGGTTCGACGTCTGGGCGAGCGATGATGTTGAAGAGGATGAGCCCCCAGTCAAGGCAAAGCCGCTCAAGACGAAGGATGTTCGAATGGCTGCCCGAGAGGCAGCGGCGGCGGCAGCAGCTTTCAAGAGCGTGAAGGAGAAGAGTGGTGCAGTCGCAGGGCAAACTGGCGCTGCTGCCTCTGAGGAAGAAGTCTCGGAGGTACGCGCGTTGAGAGATATTTCTACGCTTGCTTGTTACATTGCGAGGATGATGCTGTAAGCAACAGGCTGAAGAAAAGGCTGGGTCTGCTGCAAAGGATCTCAAGGATATTCGCATGGGGAAGGAGGAAGAGGAAGAGGAGAAGGAGAAGAAGAAGGAGGAGGAGGAGAATTTGCTTGAATTTGTGGAGAGCACGAAGCAGGTCGACAGGAACAAAGAGCAACAACGGCGTCATCGTGACCTGTTTTTGCAGATTGCAAAGCAGGAAGGGGAGAAGGGGGAGGAGAGCGAGAGCTCCTCAGAGTTTGTGGATGACTTAGGATGGGGAGACATCAAGCCGGCAAGCTTCTGCATCGCTGCCGTCGTCGTGCTTGACTTGGTTGCAACCAGGAAATCACACAGGAGATCGACGACTTCTTGACGGATCCCGAGTCGGATGAGTTCGACGGTTGACATTGGCTTTGACTGGCGTGACCCCGGGGGGCTGACAGGAGTGCAGAAACGGACGAGGTCAAATTTGACTTGGACGAGGCTACCATGAGGAAGAACATGCAGCAATCAGGCCTGCAGGGCGACAATGGGGATCAACCGTTTGTCCCCAACCTCTACTGGTACAAGGACGTCCCGTACGAAGGTGACTTGTGGAGCAACTGGGAGTCGTTGGTCTGACAGATCGTTTAGATGATGAAAAGAAGAGGAGAAGCAAGAAGCAGGACAAGGGAGACTCGGACACCGAAGAAGATCCTCAAGATGGCGTTGTCAAAGAGACTCCGCAAGGCGGTCAGAAAGCAACACGGGAGGAACCACCAGCAAAGGGGAAGAACGAAGGCGCAAAATGTACCTTGAGTGCCGAGACCCGTCTCAGATGTGCTGAATGTCTGTCTTGGCAGCACAAAAACAGGAGAAGGCCGTTCCTGCAAGAGAGTTGGTATGCAGATCTTTTACACTGACTGCCACTCTCCCCTTTGACTCATGCTTTCAAGGTTCCGTTGAACGAAATTGAAATCCCTGCTGAGGGCTCTTGCAACATGGACGGATCGCAGGCAAGAGCTTGCCCGTTGCACCAGACGTCATGACGACATTCCTCTCCCTCTCTTCCCTTGTCGACCCCCAGGACTCGCACTACCGCTACAAGATGCCAGCGCTGGAAATCAAGATAGAGGTCTTGACCTACGACCGTGCTACCAGCAGACTTGACATGGGCGCTGATGACAGGGAGCAACGAAGATGATCAAGACCGTCCTGTTGAACTTGGACATCATCGCAAGAGCCATTGGACGTCCTCCCTTGTACGTTCCTCCGCTCTGACCGGCTCATGTTGCCCGCTGTGCTGTGGTGATCGTTGGGGTTCACTTCACAGGTACCTCGTGACGTACTTGGGGCAAGAATGCAGGTGGCCAGAAGGGAGTGTGGGAAGCTGAAGTTTGACTTCTCGCCAGCTCCATGTCGCAGATTGACAAGAAGGATGGGGGAACAGGACGCGCCTGGATCAGCGGGAAGCACCTCCAGTCCGACCTGCAGCTCATGATCTTTAGATTCATCCGGGAGACGGTGAGCGTCGATAGCTGTCAGTGAGGTGGGGAGGTGATAAGGTGACCGACGACTGCCAGGTGTTGTGTCGGCGATGTTCCAATCCAGAGACCCTCGTCAAGGTTGACACGATGGGTCACGGTGACGGCGACTGTGGCTGAGGAGGTTTGACAACAGGTGGGGGGTCAGAAGAAGAAGAAGACCGTCTCCCTGGACTGCCATTCCTGCGGTCACTTGACAGAGATGGTTTCTGGCGTCTTGCTTCTGTGCTGCTGCTGATGTCTCTACCTCTGCAGCACATGACTCAGAAATTCGTCAAGTGGATGGCGCTGCATCCTCCGTCCGCACAGGTGGGAGGAAGCTGGTTGAAACCTCACCCACTGAGATTGTTGCTCGTAGGAGATGGCAGGGATGGTCAGACTTGGAGTGAACAAAGGTTTCACAGCTGTTGTTGCTCCTTGCGATGATCTTCTATCACAGAAGGGACAATTGAAGATCAAGCAAGCATGGCTGACGATGAGTTAGCACAGGCCTGTCATGAGCATCTGAAGCTACTTCCTGACATGTTGAATGCAGCTGAAAGCATGGAAGTTGTCTGAAGCGCACAGGCTGAAGAAACTAGTCAAGGACGGGAAGATAACAGCCAATCAGTGAGCGATCTTGAAGGGTCTGTGGGACATGATTGTGGTCTATCAGGTACCAGGAGAAGAAAGAAGAGACTGTAGCTCTGTACGAGAGCAGGAAGAAGGACGCGATGAAAAAGATATCGAGGAGGAACAAATAGAGCACAGTCCCGTATTCAACACCTTGATCTCCTGATGACGCTTACCGCGGGCCATTGCTTCAGGATTTGGATCAGATCTATGAGGGTTCTCTACTTTCTTTATCAAACAATCTAGTTGGTTACGTGGTAGTGGCCGCTCGGGGCAGTAGTGCATTCCTTGCCCTCTGTGAGCAGGGAGTAAGCAATGAAACGATACAGAGTCTCCTCTGCTATCCGCATCCTCCTCACCGGGTCCAACGAAGCATCCGTCTGTTTCCCACGAGTTGTCCTCCTTCTTGGCCTTGTCGTCGGAGCTCTTTCCATCGGCAGAAGCAAGCTGCTCCCACGACATGCGAAACACCTTCTTGAGCTCTGCGAGTGAAACTGTCATTCCTATCCTGGAACTCTCATGCTAGCTTGCTCTCCAACCATCCAGCCTTCCCTCTACAACGTTAGCTACTGACGTCATCTTCTCCTGTCACCAATGGTCTAGTTCTCCACCAGGAGGAACTCCTCAACAGATCGATTAGGTTGAAGATGACGGCAAGAGCCACTGTTGTCCGGCGTACTAATCACCGTCACAAGCTCTTGATCCTCATGCTCCTGCTATGGCATTCCATCTAAGTCGGTCAAACCGATCTGAGCCTTCTCATGACTCGTTCTTCCGCTGCTCTTCTCTTCCCTCGCCTCGCCTCTCTCCTCTCCTCTATCTTCTAGTATCTTCCCTCCTCTCTCCTCTCTCCTCTCTCCTCTCTCCTGAGTCACTCTATCCTCTCTTATGAGCGAACATACCTGCAAACATTGTTGACAAGTTCCCCAAAATAGACCAATGGTCACCCCTACCCCCCTATTCACCACAACAGACTTACCACCCCCTAGGTATCCCTGACTACCTGATCGAAGAAGGCAGCAATGTGAAAAGTATCAATGTCATTTGCTGCCTTCTCATACGCAGCACCCCACCCTCGTGGTCCATCCCGCTGACTACCCCATGGTGAGATTGAAACAGGAGTACCCCAATTTATCCACTTTCTATGAGTTCTAGTACCCCGTATGTCGAGAAGCGAGTGCTTTATACACCCCTCCACTCAACACCCGTACCCCCTACATCCCCATCGACAGCTCGACCGTCTGTCGACACTGAGCCATGGGCCAGGCAGCGAGCGGCGACCGCGAGGATCATGCAGTAGGAAGAGAACGAGGAGGAGGAAGGAGGAGCGAAGCTTCAGGCAAGGATGCGAAGAAGAAGAACAGCTTCTTGTCCTGCCAGTGTGGGAAGGGGAGAGACGATAAGGACGAGGTTCAGACGAATGCACGAGCGACTAATGGCACTAAACTGACAGAGGAGGAGTGGGCTAAGGTGAAGACAGGAAGGCTTCATGTAGAGAGAGGGGTTCCAGATCTTGTACAAGAGGAGGCTGATACAGAGAAGGAGCGGCAGAGGGCGAGGCACAGTAGAAACTATATGGAAGATGGGATGGAAGAGGAAAAAGGAAGAGGAAAGAAGAAACTATCGGAACCGAATCACACGGGATCTCCATCAAGTCCGAACTCAAATCCTCGTCCTCTTGACAAGAACGCCCTGCGGTTCAAAGTCGGCGACCGTGTGAAGTGCGCTTGCACGAAATGGTACGTCCTTCCTCGGGACCTCAGTAATTCTGACGTCACCATGCAGGGGCAACCAATTCGAGATAGGAACTATCACGTGCATTGGATACCGGGAACCGAGCTGGGCAGCAGACAAACCTGATGCTCCGTATCAAGTAAAGCTCGACAAGGGGGCTCTTGTGTACGCTCCTGCCGATACCGACGAGTATGTTCAGTTCCATGATGAGTCGTGGGCGAAGCAGCTACCGCCGGGTGCTCCGTGGTATCTGCAGCCCGGTGCTCTTGACAGAGAGCTGGCAAAGATTGGAGCATACAGATGATGATGCCTGCTTCGGAAGCAGAAACATGAGCATGCTGGGAACCATGTTGACGGGTGATGGGGCGAAAGGAGGGAGCATTACAGTCGTGATGAGATTTTAAAGCGTAACGCAAAAAATTACAGAAAACATGAGACTTACAATCCTTGAAGAGCAACCTCCGACGATCCGATGCGTTGCAACTGTATCCTCGTTTGTTGCTGCTGTACTCTCCTATCCCCGAGGATCATGCCTCTGCCAGGTTCACCAAGGGGTTCACATCGCAAGTACCAAGAGGGTCCCATGCCAATGAGGACAGAGCCAATTTCTGGGTGAGCGCAGTTTCGATTGTGCTCTTCCTCCTTCCTTTCCTCCACTCACTCCAGCTCCACAGCTTTCCAACACTCGTTGCCTCGTACCCCCTCACTTTGACTCGGTCTGTGGCATCATCCCTTCGTCCTCCTTCCCGTCGTCCTTGATGAGCTGGGTCGAGTCCTCCGTCCATCCTTCCTTCTCGAAGTACGAGTCCGCCTCCGCATGCCACACGGCCTTGCCTGTGCGCTCCGCCGCACTGATGGGCTTGGCGAGGTTGACTGAGAGGACGCGCCCGTTCAACTCCCCATTGTTCATGTTGAAGATAGCTTCTGCTGCATCATCCGGGAATTCATACTCTACGAAGCCAAATCCCCTGTGCTTCCCTGTTTCATTGTCAAGAGGGATGTTGACATCTACAAGCTGCATGCTCTCTGTCAGTTGTGCTGTAGCGCAGAAAATGGAAGGAGCACCTCGCCAAAGGGGATGAACGCTGCTCGAAGCGTATCTACGTTCACTTCCTCATCCAGTCCTCCGACGTAAAGGGTCCTCTTGTCTTGTTTTGGAGCCCTGAACTACCGGATCAGCGACAACGACTGGGCTTTTGGCTTTTAGTTGCACAGCCAACGGCTAGCAGAGGGAGGAATACAGCAAAGTCAAAGGGCACAGAGGAGAGACGATGAAATTTACACAGAGGAGAAGAGCAGGAGAAAATCATAAGGCATCATGCTCATAGAACATTACGTCCACGAGAGAAGGTCGCAAAACGCAAACAGACAGGCCATGGGAAGCGAGATGGGGTAGGGGCATACAACATCAGAGGATGGAGGAGAGTAGCAGAGGGGATCATAACAAGACGGATGATCGTAGAGGAGAGAGGAGGAGAGAGCAAGAAGGTTCCGTGAAAGGAGCATAGCTGCGACAAGGCGGTAACAACATTGCTCTGCTCACATCTTCGGCGGCACGGGCTGCAGGAAGTTTGAGAGTTTGAAAGTTTGAGAGTATAAAAACTTCGGAGCCAAAATCCAGTGCACCTCAAACTTTGAAAGTTTCTTTGGGGTGTAGAAATTCATTTCAGTCAACCAGCGAAGATGGCGAAGCAGGCACTAGGGAGGAGGAACATGGCGGCGGCGGAGGAGGAGAGGAGGGGAGCAGCACGTAGAAGGGAAAATACGAGGAGGAAAGGTGATGAGATGTACAGTGCAGGTTGGCTCTTCATATCAAGGACAGCTCTCTGTTCTCAGAAGTCCTCTGCTATAATTCATGTTCTGCTGGATAGCCTTGTTGGAATACCGAGATCGGAGCAGGAGGAGGTCAGGATTAGACAAGACAGAGGCATGCAAACTGTAGATCGTTCTAGAATCCCTTGAAATCCAAGGTTTTCCCTTACATTTCCAGCCTTATCCCCGCGACCGCTATGGCTGACGAGTTTGCTCAGGTTTGAGTTTGCTGCATGTGCCAGGCATGCAGGGTATCATGAAGAAGCTGTTTGTAAAGAACCAGGAAGCATCTCCCAAGGGCTACACACCTCCTACTGCTGTCGACGACGGAGCTCAAAGCACATTCGATCGTCAAACAGCAGAGGCCCTCTGGCTCTCAGGCTCGGGAACCAACCATAATGCAGCGATCCCGCAGACGCCTCCCACGAGCAGCCTCTTCGCAGGAATGGCGGTGAACAAGGATCCAGGCTCAGTCTTCAACGGCACTCCAGCAGCCACTGTCTCTACTCCGAGCATGGACGTGCATGGCAGCGGAGGAGGAGGAGGATCTGCGTTCTCCTTCATCCAGCAAGCTGAGGCGCGAGAGGATGGTCATGATGACAGTATAGTCTCCAACTTCTCCTTCATCCAAGACTCCAACGTCCCTTCCTCTCCTCCTCCTGCCTACGGCACCGGCTCTCCCATCGACGCCGTCTCCGCCTTCTCCTTCTTGCAGGCAGACAAGGCCGAGGTCGAGGCCCAGCCAACCCCTTCTATCTACAATCAGCTGCCACAAGCTGACAAGAAATTCCCCCAGAAGTCTCCATCACCTCAGAACGAAGACGTTCGGTCGTATAGTCCAAATCTCTCAGGAAAGCAAACCATCGAGCCCAGGGGCAGCAATGTGATATGTGCCCTACTGTAGGATGTTGTGTTTGACTGTCTTTGTGGTATCAGGAAGCAGCATCAACGTCAGCATCAGCATCAGCATCAGCATCAGCATCAGCATCAGCATCAGCATCAGCATCAGCATTAGAATCCACATCAGCTGCAGGTGCATCTACAGCAGCAGCAGCAGCAGCAGCAGCAGCAGCAGCAGCAGCGCAAGGCCAGGGGATCAAGAAGAAGAAGATTGCCGCAAGGAGGCCAGGATACGCGTCCGGGCTCGATGACTCGGCAAGCTCTTCGCCTCAGGTGAGTGCTGGAGGACGAGGTTCGCGTCCTGACGCAGCTCTTCTCAGCCTCCTCCTCCTCAGCCGCCAAGGCTCACCAGTCAGTCGCCTGCTCATCAGCACAACGACGACCCGCAGGTGGTGGAGTCGAGGGATCCTCGGAGAGATGGGAGGAGCGAGAATTCAGCGTCGTCAAGCATCTACTCCCAGCCCGCAGCTGCTCCCATCAAGGAGGATGTGCCTGTCGGGAGCATTTATTCGACTCAGAGTGCGAGCAAGCCTCATGTGAAGAAGGATGACGGGGAGTACGCAAGACCTGCTCCTGAAGCCGTTAAGAGCGATGTAGGACTGGAGCGGGAGGAGGTCCCCCCGCCGTCCTACGAAACTGAAGTTGGCAGTGGGCCCGTTGTACATGGCGGAGATGTAACACGTGGAGACGAGGACAGCTCTCTGCGTTCAGGGAGGTCCATCTATGATCAGCGGGATGAAGATGATCAAAAGAAAGTAGGACTGGAAGGGGAGAGCAGCGGGGTGGCAGCGAGCGAGGACGGCATCGCCCAGAGCCTCCTGTCCTCTATCGAGAAGCTTCAGAAGAGGCTATCCCAGCAGGAGGCTGTGCTGAAGAGGGAGGCGAACGTGCTGACCCTTGAGCAAGGGAGAGTGAGGAAGATGCGGGAGGAGGCGATCGCAAGGCTGCACGAGACGAAGCGACAGATTGCTTCTTCTCAGGCTGCCCAGGCGATCGCGCAGGAGAGGGAAGACTACGAGGCTGCAGAGACTCTTGTGAGCAAACTCTCTGCCCTGACCTCCGAGAAGGACGCGCTAGAAGCAGCCGCAAACAAGCTCTCGAGGGATCTGGAGGCCCTGGCTGACAAGAAGAACCAGCTGGACTCTCTCCTGCTCGAAGAGTGGAGTGAGTACTCAGTGCAGCTGGAGGAGAAGCTCTCGGAGCAGAGGAAAGCTTTCAGCACTCGGGCGGGCGACACGCTTGCGAGGGCGACCTCGGAGGAGGAGGCTCTTGCAGAGGCCATGGAGTCCGTGACCAACCAGCTCGAGCACCTCAAGTTTGATCGAGAGAAGATCGTGCAGGAGAAGACTTCTATCGAGGACACAATCAAGAGCAAGACGAAGGAGGAGAGAGCGGAGATCCAAGAGCTGGAGACGAAAAGGGCGGAGGTGAACGAGGAGATCGAGCAGATCCTTGAGAGGTTGCGCGTGAAGCGGGAGGAGGAGGCGAATCTTTCCCGGAGACTCGCTGCCGCGCAAGACAAAGTACAGGATGTCCGGAATGGCTTCACCGCGAAGATCACGAGGCTGCAGGAGAAGGAGACTAACATACAGCATGAGGAGGAGGAGTGCTCGAGCCGCCTGAGCGAAATCAACAGGAAGCAGGATGAGCTGCACGTTCATAGGCAGGAGATCCTCAAGAAGCACGAGGCCGTGGAAGAGACCATGGAGAAAGTTTCGAAGACGCTCGAGAGCGCCAAGAAACGCTGCAAGGAGATGCAGGTCGAGCAGCAGCAGATGGATAAGGACTCTGCTCATCGTCGCTCCCTTATCGCAGACGCGGAGGAGTCAAACGGGAGGATCTTGGAGATCCGCAACCTCCTCCTCCAGAAAGAGAACAGGAAGACGGAGATCGCGGGACAGGTCCTTGCGCTACAGCAGCAGGCTTCAATGTGCCGCTCTGAGCTAGCAGGGATCGATGCTCGCGTGCCGGAGCTTGAGGAGCACAAGAAACTTGCCGTGACAGCGAAGAACTTCAAGGAGGCAGGAAGGCTGGCGAACGATCTGAAGCTGCTCGTCTCCCAGCGGGAAGAGACCTCGAGCTCGCAGAACTCCATCAACGAGAAGCTTCAGAGACTGCAGAAGGAGCTCGTGGACCACGAGCAGGAGATTGCCAAGTGGAAGGCTGGGCTGGAGGAGGAGGAGAGAAAGGCGTCGATCCTCCGCTTCAGGCATCTGAAGTTCTGGTCGACGAGCCTGAAGCGATCGGGGGATCAGGCGTACGCCAGGGGCGACCTGGAGAGCGCGAGAGAGTGGGGTGAGCAGCTGAGCATGTGCGATATGGAGATGAACGAGCTGCGGGCTCGCCTACCCGCTGGCTTCGTGGAAGAGCAAGAGCGAGAGGTGGAAGCAGCTGCGTCGAGCAAGGACAGGAGCTCTAGGGAGGAGGCTGAACCGCAAGATGAGGGGATGGTCGAGAACCGTGAAGAGGAGAAACCCGTGGAGATGGAGGAGACAACCCCTCCAGAGGTCAATGTGGTCCCTGTAGATCGAGACTGTGAAGTCCCTGTGGAAGAGAGTCAGGACAAGGAGGAGGAGGAGGAGGAGGAGGAGGAGGAGGAGGAGGAGGAGGGCGAGCAAGTAGAGACGGGAGGGGAAACCCGTGAGAGCGGGGAAGACTTCAACGCAATGCTGCAGAGAAAGATGGAGATTGAGGAGGAGATTCAGCAGCTTGAGAACACCCTGCAGGACCTCGTGGTCGAAGAGCGTTACGACGAGGCTGCAGGTGCTTCAGAGGAGGGGGAGAGGAGCGCAACGACCGACTGATGGGGCCATGCAGAGCTACAGCAGAGCATCGACGAGCTTTCCGACGAGCTTGAGGGGATCCGATCGCGCGTCCCTCCGGTAAGAGATCGGCCATTTTCGCTCCTCCCTCAAGTTGACGTTGGCTCCAGGACGCGACAATGGTGGGAGAGGCTGTGACGGGGCAGGTAAATCCCTGTGTTGCTTGTCTGATTGCGGGACTTGTAAGCTCTTCGGCAGGGGGAGAGTTCGATCAACAATGAGCAGAGCGGTGTGATAGACCCGTTTGTCACTGTCCAGCTGACTGACTGCCGTATCCCTGTATAGGGAGGGCTCTCAAGGACGATCTGTCGGCTGTCGAGGAAGCAGCAGCAGCTGTCGCTTCCAGTGAGCTGTCCTGTGGTGTCATGGCTGGAGCTGACAAGCTGTCACAAGCTACTGGAGATGCAGGCAGCAGCGTCGCTCAATGCAGTGTGGAAGACCAGGGGGAGGTTTGACTAGCTCGTCAGTTACCTGCAAACTGATGCTCCACCCGCCAGGACGTTCCCATAGGTCAGCCCGTGGGAGATGAGGAGGAGGAGGAGGAGATGGAGAGCTCGGATGCCCCTGCACCGCCCTCCGCCTTTGCGTTCGTGTCGTGAGCGCAGCATAGGAGCGACTTGCGCATGGTGAGACTGACGCATGGGCGAGGACGAGAGCAAGGGGGGAGAAAGGAGGGTGTAGCCATGAGCTCTTTGTGGTCGAGATGAAACCCCTGTGATCCTCTTTATCTCTTGCTTGCACTCCCTGGTCATCAGCTCCGACTCGTGCGCTGTGATGAACCGGTTTTCTCCTCCCCGAGTGTCATGGAAGAGCCGTCAGCTTTCCAACCGAGATCGTCAGCCTAGCAGGCCCTGCGGGTGATGCCGTAGTGTGCGGGTATTGTGATCAACTGCTGTCTTTATTCCTTGAGTATAATAGCACATACGCCTATGTTACAACGTCTCTTCTGACCTCACGACGAGTCTCTTCTGAGAGCATTACAGTCCATCCTGTCTGGTGGACGTTAAACTTGGGTTTATCCTCCCCTGCTACTGATCGCACTGCTCGTCACAACTGCAACCGATCGCCAAGAGCTCCCTTCACCGCCGGTTTCTCGAGGATGATCTTGATGGACGCCTCAAGGCACGCAAGCATCCGCTTCCTGTCCAGCGGCCGCGGCTGACGCTGCCTCTGGCGACGAGGAGAGAGCTTCTCGGTCACCTGTCCTGCGCATTCCTGAGCGAGCATGCTTCTGCGCGTAACCTCACGTCCCGCCGCTGCTTCTTAGGCTTTTCGCTCCGATCACGAGATAGGGAAGAAGTCTCGGATACAACTTCTTCGGACTGTTCCTTGTAGTAAATAAGAGCAAGCATTGGCTGTCACGAGGACACGTGCCAGGTTCAGTCATTCAAATTGAACCGTTGCGTTGAAACTCGCCATTCAAGATCCAACAGTTGTAACTTTCCGAAAGAGGTCACGGAATGCCGTGCCGCTATCATGCGCACGCTCCTGCATCGAAGCTCTCAGACGCACAAAGCCCTCAACCCTCTCCCATCGGATCTGCTCCTGTACAGCTCCCTGCCCTGCCAGTCCTACACCACCTCCAGTACCTTGCGCTCCTCGTTGGCCCATGGCTACCCCAAGACCTCGCGCCCACATCACTGACCGCATCGCCTGCGAGATCTACCTCTTCCGCCTCTCCCAGCCCCCCGGCCAGCTCTGGCTCCCTACCCCCGCCAGCGTCGCGCTCGGCAGGAGGTACGGCATCACGCCCAAGGCCGTGCGAGACATCTGGAACAGGCGGACCTGGGCGCACGCGACCCGCCACCTCTGGGAGGAGGAGGATAGGACGGCACATGGCCAGATGGTCGGGGCGGAGCAGATGGATGAAAGCGAAGAAAACGTTGAGGGTCAGCAGGAGCTGCCCGAGGACGACCACAGCACTCCCGCGTACGATGACGACAAGCACTCCCAGCCTGCACAGCCAGCAGCAGGGCGAGCTGTAACAGGAGATGCGTCAGTGGCGAGCATGGGGACTGAGCTGAAGCCCGTCAGCTCGTCAACTGCTACTCACTCAGCCGAGGGCTGGCTGCTCTGCCCCGAGCGCATCTCGCTGTTCACCTCAGTTTGCGGGAAAGACAATGACATCAGCACAGGCAGGAGGACAGGCAAGGAGGCGTAGGACACCGACGATAGGTCGCTTCGATCTACAGAGAATACCTGGCGGGTACGGGCTTTCGCGGAATGCGAGGGATTGACTTGGGAAAGTGCGTGCCAGCCTCAAGATTGGGCATCTATGATGTCAGCTTGTTACGCTCGGCCGAGGTCAGAGTGTAGATCAACGCTGTACAGCTACTGCTCGGTGCGACGGATGGTTGAGTGGGCTCGGCGAGTGCTGTTGGAGGAGTGGATTACTGGTCTGCAGCAGCAGCGGCCAAGGAGACCACACGAGTCTGCAATACGCAGCATGTTTACCAGGAGGATGTTGAGATGCAGTCAGAAGTTGCAGAAGCGAGAGAATGATAAAACCTATCCTTCTCTGCCCTGCTTGACTCACCCCTCGCCGTCCTGACGCCTCACCCCGGAAATGTCTCAATCAGGGAGGAATCAGAATCTTTGCTGTGCGGTATATCGTCAGTCATCAATCAGAACGCACACATGAGTCTCCTGATTTCATGATTTTCAATCCTGAACAATAGTTTGCGGTCTGCATGTGAAATGGTTGCTGTATGAGAAGGAGGCTCACGAGAATATCCTGTTCCTTGCTTCCGGGGACGTTTGGCATCCTTGATACGTTGAGCCATAATCTTATCCAACACTTCGAGGTAGAATCTGTTGAAGGTCAAGTGAGCCACAATGAATTGGGGAGATTTTCGCGAGAGAATCATCGTATACAACACCAACATATTTGAAACCTTCAATCTTCTTCTGCACAACACACGCTGTCTCCGTAACGCATTGATGTGAGCAAATGGCATCTGCACCCTAGGCTTGCGAGGACGAGGCTGACCAGCATGCAAGGGCCTCCTATCCTGCGGTTCAGGCGATTGGGCGGACGTGATGTCCTTGCAGGAACGCTCCTCCATTTGTATACCAGACAAACCCGCCTCAGCCGATGAGAGCTACTCCGAAGAGATCTTATTGCCGACTCCCAATTGAATCGACGCGAGTTAACCAGCCAGTCGTGAGCTGACAAAAATAGTTTTATTGCGTCACGGGAGCGTGACGCTGATACGTAGCACCTGCCGAACTCCCTCGCAGATTCTTCATCCCATCCCACTTTCCTCGCCTTGCATCATTCCATCATCTCGCCCTAGAAGCCATTTCACATTCAGATCACCTGTACACCATATTGAGGATACAAAGACCATCCTAGTGAGTCGCAACAAGCTCCTCCATGCCTTCTAGCCCTCGCGCCCACATCTCCGACCGCATCGCTTGCGAGATCTACCTCTTCCGCCTCTCCCAGCCCCCCGACCAGCTCTGGCTCCCTACCCCCGCCAGCGTCGCGCTCGGCAGGAGATACGGCATCACACCCAAGGCCGTGCGAGACATCTGGAACAGGCGGACCTGGGCGCACGCGACCCGCCACCTCTGGCTCCCTCCCGCCGACGCCCCTGCCCCCGCCCGCCAGCAAGGGCCCGAGCCTGCGCCCGCCAGCTCGTCGTCCTCGCAGTCCGCGCGGGCTGACGCGGGGGATGATGGCGGGTCATGGCAGGGGTCAGGGGAGGAGGGGAGGAGCAGCGGGGGGTCGTCGGCTACTCACACGGGGGAGGGGTGGCTGGTGTGCCCGGAGCGGATCAAGCTCTTCATCTCGACGAGCGGGGGGGAGGAGGAGCCGGAGGACCGAGAAGACGAGAAGTATCCCGGGATCGAATTTATTGACGTGGGGTACGACGAGTATCAGGACTTGGTACACGAGGAGGAGGTGAATTGATCGGCGAACGGAGGTATCAGGCTGCATCTTTCATGCTGGCAGAAGATGGTGTTGGTTGTCAGTTGGAGTAAGAATCATCCAATCTCTATATGATTGGATGCAGCAGATATGATTTGAAACATTTTTTATTGTCTTTCCTACATCTCAAGTCGTTTCAGTAGAAGGATGGATGGTGCTAGCGTGCAGACGAGACGAGTTTTCAAGTTGATGTATGGCTTCCTGCACTACATAACAATTGCTTGCTTCGTATTCCATGGTTGATAATTTTATTGTCCAATACACGACTCTCCGTTGGCATACATCATTCTCAACGTGTTGGCACGCTTGAGCCTTCCGCTTCATGATAGACCAACGATTATCCTTTACCAGTATGAGGTTGTTCTGTGAGCTGCTTGAAGACCTCTCTGACCAGGAGGGGAAAACCTGACTCCTTCGTTTGCCGACTCCTGCAAGTCCTACACCACCTCCAGTACCTTGCGCTCCTCGTTGGCCCATGGCTACCCCAAGACCTCGCGCCCACATCACTGACCGCATCGCCTGCGAGATCTACCTCTTCCGCCTCTCCCAGCCCCCCGGCCAGCTCTGGCTCCCTACCCCCGCCAGCGTCGCGCTCGGCAGGAGGTACGGCATCACGCCCAAGGCCGTGCGAGACATCTGGAACAGGCGGACCTGGGCGCACGCGACCCGCCACCTCTGGGAGGAGGAGGATAGGACGGCACATGGCCAGATGGTCGGGGCGGAGCAGATGGATGAAAGCGAAGAAAACGTTGAGGGTCAGCAGGAGCTGCCCGAGGACGACCACAGCACTCCCATGTACGATGACGACAAGCACTCCCAGCCAGCACAGCCAGCAGCAGGGCGAGCTGTGACAGGAGATGCGTCAGCGGCGAGCATGGGGACTGAGCTGAAGCCCGTCAGCTCGTCAACTGCTACTCACTCAGCCGAGGGCTGGCTGCTCTGCCCCGAGCGCATCTCGCTGTTCACCTCAGATTGTGGGAAAGACAATGGCATCAGCACAGGCAGGAGGACAGGCAAGGAGGCGTAGGACACCGACGATAGGTCGCTTCGATCTACAGAGAATACCTGGCGGGTACGGGCTTTCGCGGAATGCGAGGGATTGACTTGGGAAAGTGCGTGCCAGCCTCAAGATTGGGCATCTATGATGTCAGCTTGTTACGCTCGGCCGAGGTCAGAGTGTAGATCAACGCTGTACAGCTATTGCTCGGTGCGACGGATGGTTGAGTGGGCTCGGCGAGTGCTGTTGGAGGAGTGGATTACTGGTCTGCAGCAGCAGCGGCCAAGGAGACCACACGAGTCTGCAATACGCAGCATGTTTACCAGGAGGATGTTGAGATGCAGTCAGAAGTTGCAGAAGCGAGAGAATGATAAAACCTATCCTTCTCTGCCCTGCTTGACTCACCCCTCGCCGTCCTGACGCCTCACCCCGGAAATGTCTCAATCAGGGAGGAATCAGAATCTTTGCTGTGCGGTATATCGTCAGTCATCAATCAGAACGCACACATGAGTCTCCTGATTTCATGATTTTCAATCCTGAACAATAGTTTGCGGTCTGCATGTGAAATGGTTGCTGTATGAGAAGGAGGCTCACGAGAATATCCTGTTCCTTGCTTCCGGGGACGTTTGGCATCCTTGATACGTTGAGCCATAATCTTATCCAACACTTCGAGGTAGAATCTGTTGAAGGTCAAGTGAGCCACAATGAATTGGGGAGATTTTCGCGAGAGAATCATCGTATACAACACCAACATATTTGAAACCTTCAATCTTCTTCTGCACAACACACGCTGTCTCCGTAACGCATTGATGTGAGCAAATGGCATCTGCACCCTAGGCTTGCGAGGACGAGGCTGACCAGCATGCAAGGGCCTCCTATCCTGCGGTTCAGGCGATTGGGCGGACGTGATGTCCTTGCAGGAACGCTCCTCCATTTGTATACCAGACAAACCCGCCTCAGCCGATGAGAGCTACTCCGAAGAGATCTTATTGCCGACTCCCAATTGAATCGACGCGAGTTAACCAGCCAGTCGTGAGCTGACAAAAATAGTTTTATTGCGTCACGGGGGCGTGACGCTCATTGCGGTTTGAATACGCGTAATGAGTCCGTGCGCAACACATGTCGTAGTCACACATCTTCGGAGTCAAGTTCCTGGTAGTAAATATTCTATAAAGATATGTTATAGCCAACTCTCTAAACGGTGTCTTTTTTGTGCGACCGTCACGGAAGCCCCTGCCGAACTCCCTCGCAGATTCTTCATCCCATCCCACTTTCCTCGCCTTGCATCATTCCATCATCTCGCCCTAGAAGCCATTTCACATTCAGATCACCTGTACACCATGTTGAGGATACAAACACCATCCTAGTGAGTCGCAACAAGCTCCTCCATGCCTTCTAGCCCTCGCGCCCACATCACTGACCGCATCGCCTGCGAGATCTACCTCTTCCGCCTCTCCCAGCCCCCCGACCAGCTCTGGCTCCCTACCCCCGCCAGCGTCGCGCTCGGCAGGAGATACGGCATCACGCCCAAGGCTGTGCGAGACATCTGGAACAGGCGGACCTGGGCGCACGCGACCCGCCACCTCTGGCTCCCTCCCGCCGACGCCCCTGCCCCCGCCCGCCAGCAAGGGCCCGAGCCTGCGCCCGCCAGCTCGTCGTCCTCGCAGTCCGCGCGGGCTGACGCGGGGGATGATGGCGGGTCATGGCAGGGGTCAGGGGAGGAGGGGAGGAGCAGCGGGGGGTCGTCTGCTACTCACACGGGGGAGGGGTGGCTGGTGTGCCCGGAGCGGATCAAGCTCTTCATCTCGACGAGCGGGGGGGAAGAGGAGCCGGAGGACCGAGAAGACGAGAAGTATCCCGGGATCGAATTTATTGACGTGGGGTACGACGAGTATCAGGACTTGGTACACGAGGCGGAGGTGAATTGATCGGCGAACGGAGGTATCAGGCTGCATCTTTCATGCTGGCAGAAGATGGTGTTGGTTGTCAGTTGGAGTAAGAATCATCCAATCTCTATATGATTGGATGCAGCAGATATGATTTGAAACATTTTTCATTGTCTTTCCTACATCTCAAATAGTTTCAGTAGAAGGATGGATGGTGTATTCCATGGTTGATAATTTTATTGTCCAATACACGACCTCTCAGCCTATATCACTCTCCGTTGGCATACATCATTCTCAACGTGTTGGCACGCTTGAGCCTTCCGCTTCATGATAGACCAACGATTATCCTTTACCAGTATGAGGTTTGTTCTATGAGCTGCTTGATGACCTTTCTCCCGTGAGGGGAAAACCTGACTCCTTCGTTTGCCGACTCCTGCCAGTGATATGCCGAGGTTCTCTATAGCGTGCTCGTTCTCTATGCTCATTTCTCGAAGTTGTAAACTCTTCTGCTAGTCATGTATGGTTCCGATGTCTACTGCCCTACAGTCTTGTTTCTTGGCCAAGCGAGTCAACGATTACCGCATGCTGCCTTATTCGTTCTATAGAGGCCGACAGACACTCCAGCTGCTGCTCTGTCGTCATCTGAGGCCCAGCGGAAGGGGCTGAGGAGGGATTGGGTGACTGGGGCCGGTGCTTGGAGGAGCAGGACAGCGGCAGCATGAATGCTTGAACAGGATATGCCCGACGGACTTTTGCCTGTTAATTTTTTTTTAGTCGGAGTACCGGGTGGTGAGATAGGAAAGCGAGTCTCTTCGTCAACTTCTCCGATCAGCATGCGACTCTTTTGGGGCATCCACACATCCGTGCGGAGGGGCACGGCTCTAATTCTTGAAGCGATATCGAAAATACTCCATTTCGAATGAAGGTCACGGCGGGACATGCCGGTCCCATGACCTGCATGGTCAGTGCTTCCGCCCCAATATCTTGTGCTCAAGAAACTTCACCTCCTTCAACTTCACTCCCTCCTCTCTGCGACATCTCCTGACCTCCACCTTGAACTTGCTCCCCTCCAGCTGTTCCTTCCTCTCTCACACCTTTCCTGTGCAAAAGTCCTCGACTCGTCTTCTTTCCTGCCTCATCTCTCCAGCGCCCCTCTCATCTATCTAGTCTGTCTTGTCTCTGCATCTCCCATCGGCGTCCTTGCAATTTTCAGATTGGTCTCAGACCGCCCTCATCTCATCCATGCCTTCTAGACCTCGCGCCCACATCTCCGACCGCATCGCCTGCGAGATCTACCTCTTCCGCCTCTCCCAGCCCCCCGACCAGCTCTGGCTCCCTACCCCCGCCAGCGTCGCGCTCGGCAGGAGGTACGGCATCACGCCCAAGGCCGTGCGAGACATCTGGAACAGGCGGACCTGGGCGCACGCGACCCGCCACCTCTGGCTCCCTCCCGCCGACGCCCCTGCCCCCGCCCGCCAGCAAGGGCCCGAGCCTGCGCCCGCCAGCTCGTCGTCCTCGCAGTCCGCGCGGGCTGACGCGGGGGATGATGGCGGGTCATGGCAGGGGTCAGGGGAGGAGGGGAGGAGCAGCGGGGGGTCGTCGGCTACTCACACGGGGGAGGGGTGGCTGGTGTGCCCGGAGCGGATCAAGCTCTTCATCTCGACGAGCGGGGGGGAAGAGGAGCCGGAGGAACGAGGAGACCATCAAGGATGAGATTATCACATTCAAGATATGTAGGATCAGAAGGCAGAGAGGGGAGGCTTTGTCTGTCTGAGTGTTGTATGATATACTTCTAGTCATTTACAGCTTTTTTGCATGCTTGAAGACATAGCGCTTTCCGATGATTCACGATTGTTCGTATGCTTCGATGGATCAAGGCAATACTCTACTCAATCCACCGAAGGTATTCTCATATCGGCTTAGAAGAAGAGCATTACACGGAGTCAAATCGTTGTAAGCATCTTTATTAGAGTATTACATAAAGTTTCTGGAGGTATTGTAAACCTCTCCCGCTTCCTGAACTCACTGCGGCCTTTATCCTGACTTTGATTACTTTCATGAATTGCAACATTCGGAGAGCAGATTGATCAAGACTGCCTGCCTTTAGCTCGACGAGGCTCGCTCGGCTTCTGCCCTGCACCTGCTGCTACTTGCGAAGCACGCATCAGACCCCTTTATCATGGTTCAGCAGCCGCAAGAATTCCATCCTCCCCACGCCCCCCACGTCTTTCTGGTCAGAGCAGGAGCACACAACAAAGACTCTGATCTGACTTCGGATACTCCTCGGAGTCGAAAACGAGATGGGAAAGGACATCGAATGAAGCAATTACCCATTATGACCCTGGGTGTTTTCCTCCCTCCTCCCTCCTCCCTCCTCCCTCCTCCCTCCCTCCTTCCTTCCTTCTCCCTCCTCCCTTCTCCCTCCTCCCTCCCCCCTCCTCCCTTCCTCAATTCCTCCTTTCTCCTCCCTCCCTCCCTCCTTTCTCCCTCCTCTCTGCTCTATCTTCGTCTAGGATTTTCAACGTATATATATGAAGAGGGCAATTCAGGAAGGAGAAAAAAAAAGTTTCTTTTGAGTCATCATCAACACGGACACCACCTATGCTTCTAGAACAAGCTCCAACTCTCAGCGTTTCATTCTGTCTGGTAGCGGAGATATGGAATGAAACTACATGTTTCCAAATCTCAACTTATTGCCATCTTTACAACCTGCCTGCCGCAGTGCGTACTAAAGCCGCTCCTTCTACATCGGAGAAATTATCTGTCTTCCTTTGCCTCCTCTGCCTCTGCCTCTGCCTCTGCCTCTGCCTCTGCCTCTGCCTCTGCCTCTGCCTCTGCCTCTGCCTCTGCCTCTGTATACGAAGTTCGCTGCACTCCACTGAGCGGTGAGCAGCGGTGATATGGATGGAAAGAGGGTAGGAACAGAAAGGAGGAGCAAAGGAAAGAGACTGGGAGTTGTGAGCTATATTTTTCAATATGCGCCAATAAATGCTTGGAAACACATCATGTAAAACAATACTCCTTCTGACATCCTTAAGTGTGAAGCACCATAGACACTACAGGTGAAATAAGGACGAGAAGATCAAGAGATAGAAGTGTTTAGGTTAACTACGCACTTGCTGAGCATGCATGTGGACCAAGCAAAGAAGCCCCGCCACTGCACTACTGATGATGCATGCAATGAAACAGAGCATGCGCGTAAGCCTTGGGTATCCGTGGTGGCGGAATCCTCAGGGATACTATACGAGTGCTCAAGGAGTGACCGCTGGAGCACACTCAAGTTGAATGAATTTTTTTGAAATCCGACAAAACAACTCAAATACAGTCTCCTGGCAGACAATAGAAGAATAGAGCAAGAACACAATCTCAAGGACTGCTGACGATCCTGACATGGTCGTTGAGATCCAGCAGGGGCGTTAAACTCCCTTGTGCTCCAGCGCGCTTGCATGCAAGCGCCGATGGTGCAAAGGGTTCAGAGTATTAAACGATAAGATCTTAATCATACTTGCTCAATCATTGATCTATCCAGCACATCCTCGTCTTGTAGCGCATCAAATGCGTCACCAGATATCGTCCTCGGACGTCTCTTGCGCGGACATGAAGAGTAGTATGCGTGCAGGACATACCAGCCATCCCTCGCAGTGCGTGTCTGCCGTTCTGTCCAAAAGGCCTGTAGCCTCGTTGTTGCTTTGAAACTCGACGATGCTTGCTTCGTTTCCAATATCATCCGTTGCTTGAACGTTTGCAGGACTCCACAACGGAGATGGAATTTGTTCTTCCGTACGCAGCTCAGGTTTCAGTGTTGATACGACCTCCTCCTCCTCGTTGAGCATCCGATCTGATCCGGCGCCCTCCTGTCTCTCTTGTTTCAGGGGCATGGTCTGTCCTGCCTTGTCTTTCCAAAGGTGACACGTCGCACGCGCCCAGGTCCGCCTGTTCCAGATGTCTCGCACGGCCTTGGGCGTGATGCCGTACCTCCTGCCGAGCGCGACGCTGGCGGGGGTAGGGAGCCAGAGCTGGTCGGGGGGCTGGGAGAGGCGGAAGAGGTAGATCTCGCAAGCGATGCGGTCAGTGATGTGGGCGCGAGGTCTGGTGTCAGTCGACATGCGCGAGGAATAGAGAAGTGGCGACGGGGGAGAGGACTAAAATGAAAGGCGGCGGGTGGGGGGACCAAAACTACTCTTTTGAAAAGATGCAGTTTCGTATCTCACCTTGATAGTCACGGTTAATTAGGCCGTGATCGCAACTATTAGACTGTCAGCACTAATTTGAAGCGGTCTTATCTGGGTATTCCCCGTGCCTTATCCCAAGAGGGTTTATTATTAGGGAACAGGCCCGGGCCCGGCGCTCCGAGCCTGAGTCACTGAAGGCGGGCAGACACCCGGCCTGCTCAGGGTCAATGCCGCAAGGACTGGCGAGAGGAGAGGAGAGGAGGAGAGGAGGAGAGGAGGAGAGGAGGAGAGGAGAGGAGAGGAGAGGAGAGGAGAGGTAGATATTTCAATCTTTCAAGATCATCCTGAGGTTCTTCCCGTTTGCTGCATCTAACGATGAGGAGGCTGTGGTGGTCTTGTGGTTCCCTCCTCCTACAGGCTGTGGGTGTAGCTCTCTTCCTCTCTGGATTCCTGCTCACAAGGAAGGAGCTCTCAGTGCTGTCGGCATGTGAAGATGCGCAGGTCCTTCTCTCCTCCCTCTCGCTGTTGTGTGCACATCCCCTTGCTCTGGCATCGTCTTCGTATGGCTCTCCTCTCCCTTCCTCTCCTCTCCTCTCCTCTCCTCTCCTCTCTTTGGGCCAAATCCTCATCCCCTCCCCCCCCCCCCCTTCCCTACCCCCACCCACCCACGCCTTCCACCCACCCCCAACCATTATCCTCTTCTTACTTACCATGCTCTCTCATAATGTCGTCTCAGGCTCGCTGCGACGATTCTCCATCCAGCATCTGCAGCCTTACGAATCTCGCTCCTTCCAAGTGCCGCCAGCAGCACGAGCGGAGCATCCAGGACTTCAGAATCGTCATGCTGATCATCGTCGACGCCCTCCGTTACGATTTCGCGCCATTCTTCCCCGCCATTGAGCGATGCCTGCACGACTCGCCCAACTCCTCCAGGCTCTTCAGCTTTGTAGCAGATGCTCCCACCACGACCATGCAGCGGCTCAAGGGGCTGACGACAGGAGGGCTGCCGACTTTCGTAGACGCTGGCAGGTCGTTTGATGCTAGTATCGACATCCAGGAGGACACGTGGGTTCAGCAGGCCGTGAGTGCAGGATGGGAGGTATCAGTCACAGGGGACGACACTTGGTCCAGCCTGTTTCCTCCTCCTCGTCTGACGTCGAACCTGCCGTTTCCGAGCCTGAACGTCAAGGACATCGATGGTTGCGATGACCATGTGCTTCAGACGTTCCCGGGGATGGTTGAGGAGGCAGCGGGAGGGGATATGGGGAAGCGGAGCCTGCTTGTCGGGTGAGTGATGATGAGATGACGATGTAGGTGGTGGTGGTGGTGGTGGTGGTGATATATGATGATGATGATGATGATGATATGATGATATATGATGATGATGATGATGATATGATGATATATGATGATGATGATGATGATATGATGATATATGATGATGATGATGATGATATGATGATATATGATGATGATGATGATGATATGATGATAGATGATGATGATGATGATGATATGATGATATATGATGATGATGATGATATGATGATATATGATGATGATGATGATGATATGATGATATATGATGATGATAATGATGGTGATGATGATGATGATGATGATGATGATGATGATGATGATGATGATGATGATGGTGGTGGTGGTGGTGATGATGATGATGATGATGATGATGATGATGGTGGTGGTGGTGGTGGTGATGATGATGATGATGATGGTGGTGATGATGATGATGATGATGATGATGATGATGATAATGATGATGATGGTGGTGGTGGCGATGATGATGATGTTGGACGTGATCGTGGGCGTGGTGTTGACGCATGTTCTGTCAAGGCACTTCCTGGGAGTCGACCACATCGGGCATCGGTATGGGATCGACCACCCGGAGATGAGTCGGAAAATCGCGAAGATGGACGAATTCTTGGAGAGGATGAGGAGGAGGGCGAGGGAGATCAAGGAGGAGGGGAGAGGAGAAGTGCTTCTGCTCTTCTTCGGCGACCACGGGCAGACTACATCCGGGGACCATGGAGGAGCAACGAGGGAGGAGGTACATAGTCTCATCTTGACAAGAACGGTCCTCAAACTTCACGTTGGCAGGTCCAGTCGCTGCTGTTCGCCCACTCGACCCAAGACTTCGTCCCTCCGCTGTCTGCGGGAGCGGGAGATAGGGAGAGACTCTACAAGTACATGGGGGACGGTCAGCAGGAGCACGTGAAGATGGCGGGGATGGTGGATGTACAGCGCGTTTGGCAGACGGACCTTGTTCCTACCCTCTCCATCTTGCTGGGGACTCCGATCCCATTCGGGAACCTTGGGCACTTGATTCCGTCCCTGCTGCCGTCGTCCCGTGGACTGGCCCGGGGGAAGGAGAGGAAGAAGGGCGAGGAGGAGGCAGAGGAGGAAGAAGATGCGGCCAATGCGCTATCTGCGATCAGGATGAATGCGATTCAAGTGAATGACTTCCTGACAAGATATCAACAAGAAACTTTCCGGTCGTTGCCGGAGAGCTTCACCAAGGAGGCAGAGAGAAAGTTTGCAGGTTGCGAGATGAAGTTCCAGGAGCTGGCAGGGAGGAGGGGGATAGGGATCGTACAAGTGAGGATCGAGGACTACAGCGACTACCTGGCTTTCGTGGCAGAGGGAGCAAGGAGGGAGTGGGCGACGTTCGACGTTGAGAAGATTTTCATGGGGGTCTGCTTGCTGTTCCTCTCTGCTGTGGTATCTGCCTTGTACCTGTACAGTCGGTTCTACAGGGAGCAAGGAAAGCTGAAGGCTCTCTCCCTCCCGCACTTGCTCCTCCTCCTCTGCTTCCTGCTCTACTGTGCTAGTCTGTTCAGCAACAGGTGAACACGGGAGGACGAGGGAGAGAGGATGGTAGAAGACATGATTGAGATGGTGATGATGATGCAGAAACAGCAGGGGAGAAGAAGGAGGATTACCATGATGGTTGCAATGATGATGACAATTATGAGATGAATAATGCTTGTATTGATGATGAAGATGAAGATGCTGATGGTATTGGTGCTGGTGAATGTGATGACACGTTGAATGATGTTATCTCTGTGAGCGCAACAATGTATCGATACAATCTCACATGCTTTCATAGCTACATCATCTCTGGACGAGCTGTGGCACATTTTCTCTCCTGCACCTGTTGCATCCTCTTCCTCCTACACATTCTCAGCCGGCCAGATGGGAACAGCAGACAGCAGGAGGAGCAGGAGAAGCCGAGACGAGCTCTACCCCTTGACTCCCTCCTTCCCTTGTCTGTGAGGACCAACAAAAACATCTCTGTCCTCCTTGTCCTCCTGCTCCTCCGAGTTTCTCTCTTCCATACAGCAAAGTCTCATGAAAAGGTTTCCTGCCTTTCATCTTCCCCACATTCTCTCTCGCTGCCTCCCCCCTCTCTCCATTCTCTCCCTGCTCTCTCCTCCCTCCTCCCTCTTCCCTCCTCCCTCTCTCCTCCCTCCTCCCTCCTCCCTCCTCCCTCCTCCCTCCTCCCTCCTCCCAC